CCGAGGTCCCGGCCCAAGGGCTGTCCCCGCTTTCTTCGCGCGAGCTTGGCAGTCAGGCAGTGGGCTGTTGGGGCTGAAGGGCGCGCTTGGGAAGTGAGGCGCTCGCTGGGTTTTGGTTTATTAGAGGAACCCTAATTAGTTCAGGCTAGAAATGACAACACTTAAGGGTGGTGGAGGGATCCTCAATCAAGCATTCCCGAGGTAAAGATTCGGGGGTCCTACGGGACACAACGCGTGTGGGATCTTCGTTGAGCAGTGCTTTTTCCTCATCTTCCTCTTATGACGTGTTTGGTTTACCTGACTGGGAAGTTACATTTCAGTTTCTTTGTCAGCATCTCTTTTCCACTTAAGTTGCTTAATAGAATCGTAGCGTTATTCAGATACTTAAAATAGACTCAAATACTCGATAGCAACGCAGCATTTTAATGCTTCTTTATTAAAATATGCGAAAAATTCTAAGTATCTTGTTTCCCCCAGCCCTATCCCCTAATAACTGGTATGGTGTCATTAGCAATACAAAAGTGAATTTTTAGTCCGAGAAAATCATTCTCTTGCTCTTGATAAACGTTCTTTTCCTTGGAGTGGGAAAATGATGGGTGTTTGTCACCTCGTTGAAAAGTCTTGAAGTGCTGTGAATTGTGAAAGTGATTGTGTTTCCAATTCCTTATGGGCTCCCTTCCCCAAATAAATTAATCTAATTTTCAGTCATAACTAATATTTTTACTCTAACGAAAATGGAAATCTATGTGCATCACTTTTTAAAAAAGTTTTTGATTACATTTCTGTTTTTTAACTTCGTAATCTCTTTTGATTGTAAAATTTGAATATTTTCTTGAAATTGCCCTATTTAAATTCTAAACAATTGTTTGTAGGCTGGGCCAGTAATAAAGGTGAAAATTCCGAAAGATAAGGATGGTAAACCAAAGCAGTTTGCATTTGTGAATTTCAAACATGAAGTATCAGTTCCTTATGCAATGAATCTACTTAATGGAATCAAACTTTTTGGAAGGCCCATCAAAATTCAGTTTAGATCAGGTAACTAACTGTTCAATGATATTGTTGGGGGAGGGCAGGTTGCTTGCTGCTTGTTTTTGTTTTAAAATTTATTGTTGAGTTTTAAAGAATTTCTTGTTTGGTTGAAAATACTTTCTTAAGCTTTCTAAATAGCAAACTTTGTATGTCCCTGATGGGTAATATTGACACATGGATTTTGAAAATTGTGATTTTAAAACTGAGTTTAAAATTTCATTTTGGATTAGTGAAAAAGAACGTAAACTATATTGCTAAGAGAGTTGGGTTTGGGTGCTCTGAAACAAGCAAGGATTAATGCTGAAAATACTTCTGGCTGCTTTGTAATTTACTTTTACGTATTTTGATTCTTGATCATGTGAGGACGAATCTTTCCATGTATCCAGTCTTAGAATTTAGTGTGGGGATCAGAATATTATGACCAGATTGGATATTTATACACTGGATAGTACCTTGTTTGGAATGCTTTGTTTTGCATATCTCATATTATATACACGTACAGTTTCACTCTGATGAAACTGTAAAGCAGTCTACAACAATTGGAAATTTTTCTCTTTTAGACTGCGTTTAACTTTTTGGAGTGATTTAGGGTACAGGAGATAAACTTTCAAATTAACTTTTCTATCAAGAAGAATATTTCACATTATTCCGTTTTAGGAAGTAGTCATGCCTCGCAGGATGCCAGTTTGTCATATCCCCAGCATCATGTTGGAAATTCAAGTCCTACCTCTACATCCCCTAGCAGGTAATATTTCTTACATATTGTTAAAATAATTTATCTTGGATAATGATTTCAAAAC